CAGAAGGATGCACCACAATCAATTCAAACTTAGCTACCAGCTAGTCTTCTATCTACACTATCTTCTTTCATTATGGACAAATCTCAATAAAAATATATTAAGAGAATAGAGTTAGAGCAAACAAAACAAAAAGAGGAGAAATTGTCAACAAAAACAAAAAGAATTTCCTAACTTTATTCAGCCCTAATAGTTGAGGGGGTCAGGGACAATGACTGGGGGCAAAGAAAGAGTGAAAGAAATCAAAAGAGAGAGAGGCAACTAAGATTGTGATTTATGATAGTCAAATTTTCTCTTACATAATTGTAAAATTAAAATGTACTATATGATATACGAGTCTTATTTTGATTGGGTTGTATGATGGTACCCTTACTAACCTTTTCTTATCGTCCTCCATAAAATTCCACATGCATTTGTAGTCATTTTGACTCTATTAATTTTTTAATTCTATAAAAAATGACTTTTAATGTTAAATTCACTTATAAATAAATATTATATGCTTTTTTTTAAAATAATTGTCTTTTTTATTTTAAATTTGTGTAACATTAATTGATTTTTTTATTTTTTAAAATAGATAAACATTTTTGTTTTTACTTTACCTATATCATTATTTATTTACTTTAATTAATTATTTAGTTACAAAAATCTCTCTTCATTTTTTACTTCTTTTTTAGAGATATTATAAATAAATACAATTACTATCCTCAAATTCTTAATTTGAAAAAAAAAACTAAAAAATAATAGTTTTTTTAAAATATAAAGAGTTTTATAAGTCAGTTTAAGATTTAAATCCAAAGAACAATATTGGAAAAATTAATTTTTTAAAATATAATAAATCAATGTAAAAATATATTTTTTAAATTATTTGAGAAAAAAATTAAATTTAAAATATAAAAATTGATCAAAAAACATTTTAACGGTAAATTAAAAAAAAAAAAAACCAATTATGGAGTCTTTTTCGTTCAAAATTGAAACTCATGAACCTGCCATGTGACAATAGGAGCAACTAGATAAAATTATGTTTGTAATGACGGCGTAAATATGACCTATATAATAAAAAATTTATTATATTCAACATCTTATTTAACGAAGATATAAAAAACCATTTAAATGCATTTGGATCTCGTGATCGAATGGATAGATATTAGCACTTCGAGCAGCTTCTTTTAAAATTGTAATTTGTTATCAACTGTCTAAATAATTTAATTATTATTTATTTTTATTAAAAATAAAAATTTTTAAATTTAAATCATATAATATGTGAATGTGATGAGATAAATAATAAAAAATAATTACTTTTGATTATGTAATTAAAATAAAAAAATTGTAATATATTGAAGAAAAAACAAAAAACTATTTAAAGGAGGAAGGACATGGGTTTAAACGAGATACAAAAACCCACGTCCGTCACTGCGTTCTATTTTGCTTACTATTATTTAAATAATAATTTTTTATTTTGTGCCATTTATAATATAAATTAAGAATATATTTTTCTCATAAATTTA